GATTTTTTAAGTTTAAGGCTAAAAATATAGGAATTTTTAATGTTACCTAGATAGTAAATATTATTAGAAACATTCATTGTATTATTTCTAATTTTTGGCTGGCTGTTTTGTTTTGTATCAATATCGAAAGTAGCCCCCTTGTTTTAAAAAAAATGCCATAAATACTTGACAGTTATTTTAAAATAATCATCAAGTATTTATATACTTGACGTTTGTTTCCAAATAAACGTCAAGTAAAATTTGAAAACAAACGTCAAGTATTTGTTTAAAGAAGCAAAGTTTTATTCATATATTTGACGATTTTTTTCCAAATAATCATCAAGTAATACCTAAATAATTGACAGTTAAAAACTGTCAAGTAAAGTTGCCTTATTATATGTCGTACCCTTACTTGATGGTTAAAAACCATAAAGTATTGGGAAAAATAAGTGCCAAATATGGTGCTTTTTTGTGATAGTTTCAAGGTTAATTCATATAGTTCACAAGTTATATAGTCCGAGTTAGAAAAAATCTGTTTTTACTCAGGTCAATTTTTCCAATCCAACCTAACCTAACCCTTATAACTGATTATTCAAGCCATCCTATATAACCCGACCCATATTTCTGGCTCTAATTGTATGAGCCTTGTAGGCATTGTTATCAGCTTCCAAGTAGATAGGTTATTTCTTTTGAATCATGGTGTGAAGATTAGTTGGCTTTAGAAAGTGGTTTTGGCTAGCCCTATTGCCCTTCTAACTTGAAGGTTGAGGTAACTGGGGTTTAATTTTGGTATAACATGTGCATGCAATAGATAGTTTTACGTGAGTTTCCATTGATATTTATTAATTATAATTCCTTTTTTATGGTATGAAACCATTGATACTAAATTCATATGAGCTTACGATAATTGTATGAGTATGTGCTTGAGAAATGGTTTTTGATTTGTGTGTATGTGTGTACTGATGTTGATATTGGAATACTATGGGTTTAGAAAATGGTTGCGGAAGTTTGGAAAATGGTTCTTGAAGTGAATATTGTTTTGGCATTTTAGGATAATACTGAAAAATATAAATTAGCTTATTAAATTGTTTATATTCAAAGAATGATAAAGAAAGTGGTTTATTTTGCCTATTAGGGCTTAATATGGAAATTATATTTTGATGAAAGGTTTTGCACACTCTACCTTGTATTTTGTGAGATATATTTAGGAAGTGTCATACACGCTATTGCATAATTAATGATAAATTTTGATTTTGGCTAATGATATATTGTGTTCTGGATTATTATTTTGGAATTGGGATATGATGTAGATTGATGGATATCAATAATCATTTATTGCCACATGGTAATTGCCAGCTCCAAAAGTCCTTATTCCTATAATCAAAAAGGGCTCTATGGATGCAACATATAAGACCTATTATTCCTTATCTACTATCCTTAGCCTGAAAGTGCAAAGAGAAAATATGTGAATATATCCACTAAATCTTTGGTGGCTAGACTATGAAGGTGGATGCAAATCCATATCTTTTAGCTAAACTATAGTGATCTCTAGCTAAGGACTACAAAATGCAAGAGTCATGGGTGCACTCTCTAAGCCTTTGGTCTTTTGACTATGAAGGAGAGTGTTAGGTGTGGTTGTGGATAATGGTTCTAATTAATTATACCCCTACTGAGCATAGAGACCCTTATTTAACATAATTGAGATGAATCATTTTATGTAGGAATGAAAAGTGATATATATATATATATATATATATTGGTTATCTGTTGAATTATGAAATGGTAAAAACTGAAAAACTTCTTTCTAAAACTGTTGCTCAGTTGTTAAAAGTTGAGAATCTTAATGTAGTATTATTTTCTATATATGATATTTTTAGCAACATACACCCCCCTTTTATAAATTATATTGTAATATGGTATTCTTGTTTGGACTAAAATTACTCTTTAATTACTGAGATTTCATATCTCATCCTTCATTCTAACATATTTTCAAGTGATAGTTATAGCTTACTCTCGACACTCAAAGTCAAGATTCGCTTGACTTAGGCATATGTCATCCTTTTATACTTCTACGCATGTGATTTTTGGCCAAGTGTCTATAATATGTCTATTATTGAATACTGGAATTGTGTTACCCCTCTATTTTGGTTCTATTGGTCTGTTCAATTTTATGGGTGTGAGCCATAGTTTGGTGGCTTGTTACAATGGAAGCCCCCTTCTTTGCAATGGGTTGTGCCTTTGCTTTAGGTTTGTAAGTGGTTTTTCTCTAGGTAGGATCCTGGTAGGGGCTGGTGACCTATGTTTTGTTCGAAGTCATGTAAATTATGGATTACTTTTAATAAATTCTTGTCTTTATTTTGGGGAGTATTACAATCAATAACATCAATGTACAAGTTGCAAGCCTTGGAGATGAATAGATAGCATTGCGAGGAAAAATGGGACTAAGACATATGTTTTTTGAATTTTAAATAAGGGCAATACAGTAATTTGATTAACAAAATTAATGTCAAAAAAGTCCCTTAGGACTTCATTGTAATTAAATTATTTTGTGGTACTTATCTATCTTATGCTTATTTCAACAATCCTTGTATGTCATTCTCCCTTGCTTTTTTAAGTCAAAAATCTCCTTTCTTTTTTAAAGTCTCTCTCAACCCCCCCTCTCTCTCTCTCTCTATTTTTCCCTTCGGAAAAAAATTTTGATACACAGAATATCACCTTTTTTTAAAATTTCATCATCTGATATTATGAAAAACCTAAAAATATTATTATTGTTGGGAGAGAACCATATTGTTAAAGCTCTATTGCATACACAAAACAATCAATTGACAATTGATAAGTAAAATGTTGGCCGTGCCTTTTGGCATTCTAATTAGCAATGTTAAGAAAATTTGATCCGTCATTGGACTAGATAAGGTACTGTTTCACAGTTCAATAGTTGAATCATGATTCAACTTATCACGAATAAATTATTCCATCACTTTAATCTAATGTGTGTGTATTATAATTTATTACTTTAAGATGTGTATACACACACATTCCATACATAGTTTTTGATCTTTCATTCATTTTTATGCATTTATCAATGCTTATTATGTTTAAATATGTATAAATGGTAGTTTATAAATATGAATTAGAATTTTAAAAAATAAAAAATAAAAATATAATTTTGGGTCCTTGCATTTTATTTGAGTTTTGCTATAGTCCTTACATTTATTTTTTTTATATTCTAGGTCCCTATAACACTACTCATAAAGGGATTTAGATTATCAAAAAAAGTACAAGAACCTATAACAAAACTCAAATAAATTGTCGAGACTTAAAATTCTATTTTCTCAAATAAAAAATTTTAAAAATTATGGGACCGTTTCCACCAATTTACCCACCGGTTTTGGCCGGTTCTCAAAATAAATGATTTCCTTATATAATAGAATTGGCCTTAGGACGAGTTCCTGATTCAACCGGTCGAAGTTGGCCAATCTGATCGATTCTTATAACACTGCTAATTAGTCATGATTCAAAGAGTTTGACTTTTCTTCGTATGGTCATAAAACTGTCAACAAAGCCAAAATATGATGACTGTTTTTTTTTGTCCAAAAATAATGCTAACTGTTATTGTCCACTAACTTCAAGTTTCTTTGGCCCAAAAAAAAGACTTCAAGATTTTGAGAAGCTTTCTTTTTTCAAATAATTATAAATAGTTCTCAGGTTACCCTTGATATAAAAGCTTATCCTATATGAGTATACGGTCATAAAATCAACAATATCTGATTGTTTAAAATATATGTTATTTAGTCATAGCATAAGAGCAGAAAAATATTTTTAAAATATATAAATGATAATAAAATTATACAAAATTTTATAATTCTTCTTAAATCTCTAGAGACCTTTTTGACATTAATATTTTTTATAAAATAATTAAAATACCCTCAGTTAAAAATAAAAAAGTAACAATTCTGGTCTCCTTAGTGAAAGTAAATATCAGTGACTATTTTTATTTAATTAATAATTAATTTTTTTCTGACAATGATCAGAATGGAATAAGTAATTATAACGTTTACTCTGCAAATTTTTGATTTACTAAAATCCAAGTGTTATAAATATTCGTGATTACTTTAGTTTAAAAAATGACTAATTTTTTTCCGTCAATGACTAAAATGAAATAAGAAAGCACAACTTTTCATGTACAAATTTTTAATTCGTGACTACTTTAGTTGCAATTGTTTGTTCTATTTTAATCATTGTCAGGAAAAAAGTTGTCCTTAGTTGCTTAAACCATAATAACATATTTACAATACTTGGAGTTTAGTGAATCAAAAATTTATACAGAAAAAATTATAATTGCTTGTTTCATTTTAGTCATTATTAAAAGAAAAATAGTCATTACTTAAACTAAATAGTTATGGATATTTATAATATTTGGATTTTTGTTAATCAAAAATTTGCACAACAGAAGTTATAATTTATTGTTTTATTTTAGTCATTACTAGAAGAAAAATAATCATGTCTTAAACAAAAATAGTCACTGATATTTTCTTTTTTGGGTCATAATTGTTACTCTTTTATTTTAAACTTGGGTTATTTTAGTTATTTTATCAAAAATTATTAATTTCATAAAGGTTTTTAAAGATTTAAAAAAAATTATAACATTTTAATAAACCTCGTTGTCATTTATATATTTAAAAAAAAATTTCTCATTCTCCCCCTTACTTTACAATGTCACATCTTACTATTTAGTATATGCTAGACTTTACTTTACTTTATTTTATTTTTCCTTCCCCAGCCCTTCATCATAATTAGACATGTATTAATTTCTATATATACCTTACATGAAATTTAAAACAAGTATATAGATATAGACATAGATGAAACCAGACCCGTTTTACCTAGTATATAGCTTTATAAAAAATTAACGTCAAATTTAATGTAAGAGATAAGAAAGGTCCCGATAAATAGGTGTGTCATGAAAAAAAAAAATTAATATAGGAGACGAGGGAATAAAATCTTATATTTAGAATCAAACCAAAACCATCAAATGGACCTTAAATTAATTAGGAGTTGGAGCATCTTTATACAGAAAAAAAAAAACATGTTTACATTATTACAATATAAATTGGTTTAAACCAAAAACTGCATTTTTTTAAATAACATCACATGATAATGATTATTAATATTTATTCTAAAAAGATTTTATGACTTGGCTACATCACAATATTTAAAAGTCAATAAATTTCTTCTCTTTCAAACTTTCCACAACCTCTATCATACTCACTTGAAATGGAATGAACTCAATTCCCAATGTCTTTGCTTTTTCCTTGGAAATTTGAAATGTTGGGTTGAAGGATTTATCATCAGCGCACCTGATAAGTTGGAGAAATCAAGAATGATATTATAAATTATCTTCATTAACAAAAAAAATTAATTAAAAGTGGATTGATTTAAGGCCAAATTAGGAAGGGCTAGTATGATCATATATAATTTGAAACAATAAGATCAGTCCAAATAATCAAGAATTTCAAGCAATCTCCTGCATAGAATAATTAAAACACTGGAATCTCTAGAAATAGAAACAACCATGAACTCTTCTCCAGGGTAGCTAAAACATATGGATCTTATGCAACTTGTAATTAAATGAATAAAATATATTAAGACACTAAAAATTAAACCTATTATTAAACTAATTAAGATAATGGTTCAAGAAGCATCAACTGAGGTTGAATTGGGATCAATCCAGTGATGATTAAAAAATATAATGTAATTAAAATATATAAAAATTTTATATATAAGTATGAAAAGAGTAACATTAAATAAAAAGTGAATTAATCAATCTACAAGTAAATAAAACATTTATTTATAAAACTACACATAATCCAACATGAAAAGAGTTACTAAAAGAAAAATCTAGCAAACTAATACTTTTTTCTTTTTTTGAAAAAACTAAAAATGATGTCATTTCTAGGTCATCCAAGAAAAAGAATGTATATAAAACCCAATCTGGACTCTTGACTAAATTGGTCAGATGGCTAGTTCCTTGGTCCACTAGTTTGATTGGCCAACTGAAATTGAATTTTAATACCATATATAAAATACAATCACAAAAAATAGTGAGACAAAAAATAACAAGTGTAAAGAAGAAAATTAGAACTCATAATCTCATTCTTTTGTATTACTCAATTTTTAAATCATGACCATAAAACTATAAAAAAAGTTCAATTTACAGGAAAATGATGAGTCTTCTAAATCTCTATACTCTCTGTTGATAAAAATTAGATGAGTTAGGCTAAAAAAGATAGTTATTAAGATACTCACATATTACCTTACATTACAATGCACATCATGAAACATGCACAATTGTTAAACAAAGAACCTTGGCTCCCAAAAGTCAATATTCGTTATACAAGCACGTATAACAATTTTACTTTTACGCGTCCTCTCTCTCTCTCTCTCTCTCAACATGTAGTAGATTATTCTAATTAAATTATGCAAAGATTTTTGTTAATAAATTTATTCAAGCAAGCTAAAAAGAAACTGAAAATTCTCTAATGATCACTGCATTACATGTTTAGATAGATAACATATAATGTTAAATGAAACTATAAAAATTCTCTTAAAACATATTTTGGTTCTTAGGAATCTTTAATTACTATAAATTTAGTGAATCATTGATGCATGATGCCTTCCACAAATGCCTTGGATGATTTTAACTCAACTCAAGTTGAAGTTAAAATATAGTAATTAAATAGGGTAGTTGTTATCTTTTTAATAAGGGTACTTTTGAATTGTTACTGTAATTATTGGCAAAATAAAAGATCACATAACTAATTTGATCTTTAACATTTTATATATTTCCTCTAGTCCTATTTATAAGTCGCTTCCAACATGTCTCACCAGAACTAAAAAAAAAATCTTAAACTTTATTAACTTTGTATTAAATTGTAACAAGTTTTCACCTTTACCCCTAATAAACATTTTTAAATCTCATTATCAATATTTTTATTTAAAGTATTTAATAAAGGTAAAATGTAAAAAAGAGCACTGAAAATTAATAAGTTTCTTATAAATAGGATCAAATTTTATTCTCTTTCTATTCTATAAATAGGACTAGAGGGGTAGTCATCTAGGAATTAAAGAAATAATATTGTTAAAAAGTTTAGGGAAAAATAAGAAACCAAGATACTCCCTCCATTCAAAAATATAAGGTATTTTTAACTGAATTTCACCCCTCAAATAAAGTAATTATCTACTTTTAAACTAACCCTATCTTTCCATATTGATCCTTATTAAACACCCTGCAATAAATATAAAATCATTATTAATAGAGATACTTTTAAAAAAAAAGACAATGATTACACCTTGGAAGGCTAAAAATGTCTTATATTTTTAAACATCCAACTCCTCAAAAAATATCTTTCATTTTTGAATGGAGTGAGTATCTTTTTTTATATGTACTTATATTCATTCTTAATTAAAAATTAAAATAATAAAACATAATTGAACTTACTTGTGGGGAAGTTGTAATGTCGGGTATAATTCATGTAAAATCTTTATAACCTCTGAGTAATGTTTTACTGACTCAGCTAGACAATATCTTCCGTTAGCCGAAGGAATTTCAAACGCTTGAATGTGAGCATTTGCAACATCCTTCACATTGACCCATGGTGAACTCTGATTTGGAAATGTGTGTGCACCTGCATCAAGTAATATAATATAAGGATGGAAATTAAAGAGTCCTTATGAGAAGCAACATGCACAACAATCCATATATTTTTGTCTAGGGTTCAAAACAAGAGTATCTTTATTTATTTATTTTTTTCAAAATAACAATTCTAGTATATAGATCTAATAATCTAGAAAAAAAAGGAAAAAATCCTTTTAATAATTGCCTATGCAGTTCGAGACAAAATTAAAGATATATATATATATATATATATATGAAGAGAGAAAATAAGGAGTGAACAAAAGTAAAAGAGCCAGCTCCCATTCACAATATATATTAATTATATAAATTAATGCATTGTGGTGAAAAATTTAGATAGAGTGAGTTTATGGTTTAAGTATGTAAATATGATAAACTCTCTTAGGGAGTCTTCAAATGTCATCTTCTCTTCTATGAAAGCAATGTTGAATTTAGTTACTCTGATCATAAAATAAAATAAAATAGAAGTGCTCATATATGACATGATATTTGTTTGGAAGGTCTAGATTCAAATTTTTTTTTATTTTATAAATGATAAATCCGTTTTTTTATGATCAACAGTGAGACAGTTATTGTTTTTATTTAACTATTCTATTTTATTTAATTATTTGAATTGAATATACAAAAACTATTATTATCTCTCAAATATTAATTCTCTCTATTTTTATTTTCCCTCTCCCTCTTTTTCCTTGTCTTCATCACATGGTTTATTAGCACAAAATAAAGATCATTCCCATTTAGGGTTTGAACCTCGGTGTCTCATTGAAGAAAAAGGATTATCCAGACGAAAATAATGCTTTCAAACTTTACAAGAAAATATGATAGATAAAGCTTACAAATACTCCATTTGTTCAAAAATAATTGTTAATTTAAATAAATGAGAAGTGTTTATTTAAGACATTATAATAAATAAGAGTATTTTAGTGAAATATATTGACCTCCCTAGAGTATGCCTTTATTACAGCCACTTCCTTTCTATTTTTTAAACATATAAAAATCTCCTTAGAATCAATAGTTTCAAAATATAAACTTCTCTTTTGTTTTTAAAATTTCATTTCCATCCAAAAAAATTCTAAAATTCTGCACGTGGACGAAAAAAAAAACATTTTTCACCTACTTTCAGCATCAGTTTAAAAAAGAACAGGTGCTAAAAGTGTGTACGATGACTTTTTTTAATTAAGTTAAAATCTTGAAATATATTTGGCACTTGCTTCAACAAGTGCTCAAGGTGTACATGACAATATTTTTTTAATTAAGTTAAAAGTTGTAGGGCTTTTGGCCCCTATTTTAAAACAAACGATCCTAAATAATTCGACAATAAATTCCACCATTTGATCGATATTGATATTCTAAAGTTTTGAAAATATTTTCAATAACGAACAAAGGTTATTTAATAATTTTACTTTGATATTGATATTACGAAGTTTAACATTATTGGTATTCTAAAATTTGAACGTAATTAAGGAAACATTATTTTTTTTTTCAAATTTTGAAAAATTTTAGAATCTTTGTCAAATTTCATAACATCAGTATTCAATGATTTAAGGGTTTGACAATCATGATTATTTTTTTTTTTTTTTTAATAGGATTGATTATAGTAGTAATTTGTCCTTCAACTTTTTTTTTTTTCAGGTGCACTACTGAATACCCTCAAAGTTAAGGGTGAAGTAATACTACTCATCATGTATTAAAAACACATTGGTGAAACTCCACCATTATGTGTGTGTGTAATTAATAATAATACATGAGGGATAATATTGCACCACCCTTTAGCTTAAAGCTACTCAACACATCTGAAAAAAGTTGAGGGACAAATTAATAATTTAACCCTTCATAATTAATACTAATTAAATTGAAATTAAATTCATGTTTTGGCTTTAATGTGTCATCATCACCAATAAAACTAAAATCAGCATTAACATTACCATTGAATAGAATTGAAATAGTAGTGGTAGATATGTTGAGTGTTGGCTGCAAGAGAGGTCCTATGACATATGGTGGATTGATAGTAACCAAATCGATGTTGTTTTCTTTTGCAAATTTCCAAGCAGCTTCTTCTGCTAAAGTCTTTGAAAGTAGATAACCTGCCCATTCCTAGAAACACACATTATCTTACATCATTAAATTCAGGGGACTTTGTCAAATATAAATATGAATTTTCTCTTCATTTAATGCCTTTAAAAAAATCAAAGTAAAATACGCTGATAATCCTTATATTTTATCTTAATTACATAAATATATATATATATATATATCCTTTTATTTTCATTTTTTCTCTATTTTTAAAATTTTATTTTCATTAATCTACTTTTAATATTTGATTCACCCAATCGTTAATTGACGTTAAGTTATATATGTTAGATCAAAATATTTTTCTGTGAACATAAATATTGTATAAAAATCATTTAAATTATCCAAAAAAAATTTAATGCATGTATTTTATTACTATTATATTTTAAATTTTTTCAGTTGTGTAAACATATTTATTTAGTAATTTTTTAAAAAACTGATAAATGAGCAAATTACTCCTTAAACTTTAAGTCAAGTAGCACCATAAATCCTGAACTTAATTATTATGCAAATTATTCCATTAACTTTTAAAAATGATGCAATTTAATCTTTGCTATTAATAAAAGCTAACTTTGACTGTTAGTTGATCAGAAAATAATAAAAAGACCTCAAAAATTATAAATAATGATTAAAAATTTTTTATCCTTTTTTGTAACTTTTTTATCCCTTGTCTATAATTTTTGGGTCCTTTATTATAATTGTTTATCCTTTCTTATAATTTTTTGTATTTTTAATTATTTTCTAGTCAACTAATGGCTAAAGTTAATTTTTATTAACGACAGAAATCAGATTGTACTATTTTCAAAAATTGAGGGAACACTTTTCATAATAAATAAGTTTAAGGTTTATGGTGCTTCTTAACCTAAGTCCAAAGAGCAATTTACTCATTTATCCTAAAAATTAAATAAATAAATTATTGGCTAAAACAATATTTTAAACTCACAATCTTAAAACTTATTAAAATAGATATTTAATATAATAAATTACTTATTATAATTTATGTTTAATTTTTAAAATTTTTATTAATTTTAACACAAATTTTTTACAAGTGTTTATTTAAATATTGAAATACTTTATTATTTAAATTTTTTAAACTTGTGGGACAGAGTGGACAATTTGATTACAAGGGAAAATTAACAATTTTAAATTATTAACTTGATTACAAATTTAGAATTTGAGTAAAATATGTTAACTTCTATTTTACTATAATTTTAGGGACCTTCCTCTTGCATTCAAAATGTATACTTTAGTCTAATTTTCAACACTATTAGAAATATTTCTTTAAAAATTCAAAAATATTTAATTTTTTTGAAGAATTACATCCAGGTCCTAAATATAAAAATTAATTAGTACAAGATCCAATAACAACTAAATAAAGGAGATTGACAACACAATTAGTTGTCAATTTTCTTAGTTTAGTTGTCGCTGGCTCTTGTAGTAATTAATTCTTATGTGTGAGACTTCGATATAATTCTCCCTAATTTTTTTACTTGTAATTATGTTGAAAAATTTACAATTACTAATCTACCTTTATAATCAAATTGCATACTATCTCTCTCTCCAAATTTAATGAAATTTAAATAATTAATTATTATAATGTTAAAACTAATAAGTTAGAAATATTGATTGAAATTAATAAAATTTAAAGAAAAATAAACATAAATTATATTAACTAATTTATCTCTTATTATATTACATACCTATTTCATTAAACTTTTTTTAAATATGAATGTTTGAAATATTATTTTAGCCAAATTAGGTATTTATTATTATTAAAAATTAATAAATAAATAATTTTACATAATTAAAAAATAAAAAATAAATAAATAATATATGCATTTATTTTTTTGGTATTTTAAATGATTTTTAGATAACATTTATATTTAAAAAAAGTATTTTGATCAAACAAATATGATTTAATAGTTAATTAATGTTTCGTTGATGAAAATGCAATATTTAAAGTTGAAAGGATGTTTTTGTTTTGTAATTGTTGATTTTATAGGAAGTTTATATACATTTTTAAAATAGAAGGCAGTATTTTAAATTAGATAGAATCGCACTAAGGGCTTTAAAAAAGCAACAAATTGCACTGCAGGCCCAATAGATTATGTTATTGCGTTGCAAGTCTAAGGGCTCTTGTTACAATTTTTTTGAGAGTAAAAGTACAATTTTACCCTTACGTGATTTCAAAACTCAGATAATGTATAACACAATATCTATGGATGTACAACATGATGTCCATGCGTGTCCAGTTAATCCATAAGTTAAAATATACATCACATAAAGTATGTACAACATGATACCTATGGATTCACAATATAATATTCATGAATTCTCAACATAATGTTCATGTGTGTCCATGCATGGATATTTAGTTGAGAATATATGAACATTGTGTTGTGCATCCATAAATATTATGTTGTATATTGTTTGCGTCACTTGTACATTTTATTAAATTTATTAATCAATTAGACATGTATGAACATCATGTTGTATATCGATAGATATTATGTTATGTATGATCTGAATTTTTAAATCACGTAAAGGCAAAATTGTACTTTCGTTTTCAAAAAAAATTGCAACAAAAGCCGTTGGACCTGCAGTGCAAGTTTTACTTTTTTTAAGGCCCTATGTGCAATTCTCCCTATTAATTAAGGTATAATATAGGGAACTCAATGTATTTTTCTCTTAGAATTCTTAACCAAATATTCCGTTTTTTTTTATACACTGAAAACGAAAAACTAAAAACCAAAATAAAGCAAAAGAACGGCACAATACTATTAAAAATTGGACTAAAATATATGTTTTAAAAATAGAGAATTTTAACATAACAAAAGGAGGATACTTAATTTTACACAAAAATATTATAATAATAACTAGAAAATTATTCTAAAAACAAAGCAGGGAAAATGTTATTAGTATTCCTTTAAAATTTTAAAAAGACTCGCACTGTGAAATAATTTGTTTTCCCTAAAGTAACAAATTTAATGTGATACGGAGTTTAAAAAAAGAAAAAAAAAAACCCATTCAGTCATTGGCTTAATCATAATTTATTTAATATATTTTTTATTATATACTAATTATTTATATTAAGAAATAATAAGATAATAATATTATTGTAAGAAAATTAAAAATGAATTAATTAAAAAATAAGTAAAAATGAGATGTGAAATATAATATAAAAAAGTAATGTATATTTTATATAGAAAAACCTTGTAGCATTCACTATACTAAAAGGACAGCCATAGCCCATATGTCTTCCTCCATTTTATTTTACAAGGTATTTTTCACTTAACACTCACCCATCAAAAGAAATAATTTAAGTAGTTAAGACACCTATTTTTTTAGTAAATATTACCCCACTTTAATATCAATCATTAATAATTTGTTTCCGATTGTCAACTTCTTTGAGACAAGTAATTTGATATACTTCTAGGAATAAAGTCAAAAAGATAACAAGTAATTATTAAATTTAATTTGATAAAATGACATATATATTGAAACATGAAACACTTTTTTTTATAAATGCCTTATAGACTAGGGAACAAAGGGAAAGCAATAACTATCAACAATTTATCTCAATTTTGGTTTAATGAAATACTCTCTTTAGTTTCAAGGCAACTTTAACTACTTTATCAAAATTAAGAAGATGTGGTTAAATAATTAATTTTGTTCAAAAATGAAATAATTTTCACTTTTACTTGTATTTAAATAAAAAAATGATAAAATTTGCATTACCAATTAACTTCATGTCAATGTTAATTGAGCAAAATATATAGTATAGTACTACATACCCCATATTCCTTGCAGATATCTGGATCAGAAAACCATGTCTCATCAACCATAACATCAGGAGTTAAAGGCTTTTCATTGCATAAAACTGCAGCCATGGAAGAGGTTAAAACAACTCGTTTCACTGATGGTGACTTTGTGCATGATTTGAGAACATTTAGAGTTCCCTTGACTGCTGGCTCAATAAGTTCAGTCTGAAATATTCAAAAAGAGCAAGTGTCTTAATTAGAAAGTTTGTTATGATTATTAATTGTCAAGCCCTTGCATTATGCATAAGGAAAAAAACTTTTATATTTAGCCTTATATATTTAAGATACTTATTTTTAATTAAATCAAAGTATGTGAATCTTTTATAAATTATTTATTTTATTAATAAACTCTTATTATTAATATTATTAATATATATTAAAGTTGTCTTAATTTGATTGGATAAAAATATATTAAATATATAATTAGGTTAATTAAGTATTTTTTTAATATAAAGTCCAATATTATAAAATATGGAAAATGATTAGTACAGTAAAAGGCATGGGTGAAATAGCAGAACTATCAACTCAAGCCCCTTAGTATGAAAAAGAAAAAGAGAAAAAAAACTTATAACAACGAAACAAAGCCTAAAAAATTGACAACAATGTAAACATTAACAAGATTGAAAATAATAAATATTAGGGAGAATTAATTAACCTAAGTTTTTGAGCCTTAAGTTAGTATATATTAGGGAGACTTTCACTTGAGAATGAAGGATGTGACATAATACTAAATATAGTCTATTAAAATATAAAATTTTAGTTCAATCCAAAAAGGTTGAAATAAAATTATTTTAAATGATGAAATGACCTCTATTTAAATAATAAAAAATAGCAGTTAGATTTACATATAATGTTGAGAGTTAACAATTAAAATTGAAAAATTAACAATTGAAGTTACTTCATAAATTTAAATAAATTGATTGAACAAGTTTTTTTCATTTTATTAAGGATTAAAAAGTCAAGGATAGTAATTTACAAGTGATATTGAGGCATTAACAAGTAAAGTTGTAATATTAACAATTGATGTTGCTTCATAAGTCCATATAAATTGATTGAAAAAATGATTGTAAACTAAAGTAAAGTAACTTATGAGTAATATTGGAGAATTAACAAGTAAAATTAAAAAATTAACAATTGATGTTGCTTCATAAGTTCATATAAATTGATTAAACAAGTAATTTATAAAGTAACTTCAATTGTTAATTTCTCAATTTTAATTGTTAATTTCTCAACATTACATGTAAATCTAATTTCTATTTTTTTAATATTTAAACAGAGGTCATTTCATTATTTTTATCATTTAAATTAATTTTATTTCAGTCTTTTTCGATTGAACTAAAATTTTATATATTTAATGGGCCTTATTTAGTATTATATCACATTTCCGGTCCTCTTTAAAATTCTATCTATATATTATTTTATCCTATTTCCTTTTTTTTTGGGTAAAAATTTATCGTATTTCTTTTTTTACGTTGATTAAAGTTTTTACCATTATTTTTAAAAAACCGAATTAAACCGGCTGGTTGAATGAATTCAACCAAGAATTATTGTCTAATTCATTCTAAAACAGACATATAATAAACGAACCTAACAAACAAGTGGGCCTAATACAAGTGAGCCAAACCGAAATTACACCAGAGTACGGTCAACAACTTTTTAAAAAAAAAAAAAATTAACAAACTTGACCACATTCCAGTCTTAATGTGATCATTAAACTGTGAATTGGTATTTTAACCAATTCCATGGTTTATCTAATTCTCATGATATTAGTTTTTACATGCAAATTAAGAGATTAGAAATGAAAAGATATCACAATTCCTTTTAACTTACTATTATTTCCTTTATTTATTTTCATCATTAATAGAATAAAATATAACGATCTCCCTTTCATTTTGATAAAATTGTAAAGACTTTACTCTCTGTTTTTTAAAAAATACACTTTAGTTTAATTTTCAATTAAGCTAGAAATATCATGTTAAATATTATAAACTACTTTAACTACTAAGAATCTAATCGTCTACTCACTCCCCTCTCAATTTAAGAAACTTTAAATAATTAAGCATGGCAATATTAAAATATATAGTTTAAAAATATTGTGTTCAAATTAATAAAATTTAAAGAAAAATAAATATAAATTATATTGAAAATTACATCCCTATTTCATTACTTTTTTTTTACGCAAGTGTTTGAAATATGATTTTAGACAACTTATGCATTTATATATTTTAAAAAATCACTAAATAAATAAGTTTGCAAAACTAAAGAGCTTAAAAATGAATAAAAAGTTTGAAAAAATATGCATAAATTGTTTTCATATCTTGAATGATTTTTAGATAGCATCTACATTTAAAGAAAATATTTTGATTCAATATGTAGATGATTCAATAGTCTATTGATGATTGTGTAGATGTAAATGAAATTTTAAAAATCAAAAGAAAGATTTGTGTTTTGAAATTATTGATTCTAAGGATTGTTCATGTATGTTTAAAAAATAGAATAGAAGTATTTATAATTAAGGTAAGCTGTAAAAGAGGTGAATGTATTTTACTCCATTTAGGTCAAACAATGTATTTCACTCTATTTCTTTTTTAATTTTACTTTTACTTTTAACTTAGCCCTTTTCGATAGAAAAGGAAAATGCACACCTGCTCATGCACATGAACGTATCAATGTTGGGCTTTATTCAGGATTTCTTTTTTTTATAAAAGGAAGGTGACATTATCATTAGAATAATTAATCATTGACTACAAACTTGAATTCTAAAATTAGTGAAGGTTAAAGAATAAGGATGTATATTTCGTTGTCGGGTGACTTTTAAAAGAATTCTTTAACCATTAATATAAAACACTTAATAGAGTATTACTTATATTTTTTTAATATTATCCCTATTTAAATTTATTAATTATGAGAGGAAATAAAATGTAAGTTTGAAAAAAAAATTAAATTAATACAGTAAAATTAGAAATTTATCTTATTTTTAAATAAAGTTGATAATTTAACTATCACTTTTTAATTCTGTTGAGGTAATTATAGGGGCGTTATGATAAAGTCCCAATGAAATATGATTGAATGAATAGCAATAATCATTGATACATGACTTAGGTTAATAGATATGAACCTGTGGGTCATTGACGCCAAGGAGAACAGGGGAAGCAGTGTGGAAGACACCATGACAGCCCTCAACAGCAGAATCAAAGGAACCTTCTTCCAACAGATTTGCTTTTATCAGATTCAATCTCTCCTTTGCTCCTTCAAGTTTCAGTAAGTGCTCTGTCTTGCTTGGATCATCTGCGCATAACAGAGTTTTAGGTTAATGGTCTGGAAACCAACTAAACCAAGCGTGTTTTAAGAGATCAATAACGTTGAGTTAATTATCAGTGAAGAATAATGAAGAAACAGACCTGGGTCACGAACAGTGGCTCTGACAGAATAGCCACGAAGAAGAAGAAGCTTGACGAGCCATGAAGCAATGAACCCAGAAGCTCCTGTCACGCACACCACCTTCCCTTTTCCTGATGATTCTTCTCCGTTGCTTCCCATTCTTTTGCTTGTGGAATCAATTTTGGAGATGAAGATTGAAGGAATGAAACTGCTATATATTGTCAGTGGTCAGCCCCACAATCAGCGTTTAATTTGGTTTAGTTGCCGTTTGCAGTTGTCAATTTTGACGGCCAATATTGGAGCCGGCGGATTGCTATTAGATTTCCAATCATAAGTTATGCCTTGTTTGGTATAAGATATTACATTTTATGGGAATGAGAATGGAATTGAGATTGAGAATAAATTTTAAAATAATGCTTGATATGATATGAGATTTAAAAAAAAATAAGGCTGAGATTAAATAAAAAAAATTGCTAAAAGACACAAATATCATCTTTTTCTTCCTTCCACCCTATCTAAACTCATCAACTTGAGCACGTCAGCCCACTCTTGCTCCATCTCTTTCTCTATTAAGAAGCTAATTAGCTAACACATGAACAAACACCATGCGTCTGTGTCTCTAGTAGAGAAGCTAACATCATATGCGATGAACAAATCCGAGCATATTTGCGACATCATACTCCAACTCCCTCCATCTTTGTCCCCATAAAGGACGGCTCCATGTCTACCTCTCCTTCTGCCACACAATTTGGATATCTACACGAGCAAGGCTGAATACTCAATCTGAATAGGGATTTGAAGGGATGGAGATGCAATCTAGATATGTGCACGAGCAGTGCCGGAGACGTGATCTAGATTTGGATCTGAAGTGTCAGAGACGAGATCTTGATCTAGGTCTGATGAGACAAAGACGGAGGCACGGTAGGAACGGCGGAGATGATGGCGCAGCAGGAATGATGAGCAGCATATCAGGAGAGAGGGAGATGACCGATGTATAACTTGTGAGGTTGGAAGGCATTTTCATCTTAAAAAAAATAATCTAAACATTGATTTTGCAATACTATGGTGGAAGTAGTAGTGGGTAACCTTATGAAAGATGAGATTGGTACAAGTATTAAAATGTAGATTATTTCATACTTTTGATTTACTTTATAAATCACTTTTTAAAAGAGTGAAATGGTTCACTTTATAAGCTATTAAATTGACAGTGATATTTTATTTTAAATAAAATATCTAAATTATCCTTAAAAAATAAGAGAGAGAAATAGAAAAATAATATTATATAATTTATTTACTTTTTTTTGGGGTTATATTTGTAATTTTATAAAATTTTATTTTTTATACTTTTATTGTATTGGTATTAATGAGATTGATAAAAATAACTTATAAATAAAATTAAAGAAAATATCAAATATAAAAAATTGGAATTATTTAATCCTAATTTCAATCCTACTCCCACCATCTCATTCTTTCATACCAAACACCCAAACAGGGCCTTTCTAGCCTAGTGCTAGCCAGCAGCCGAAGCCAATACACGACTTTTAGCTGAAAAGCAAAAACAAAAGGAAAAATTATTCCGTGGATCTTTATTGAATGAGACTCTATTGTTTCATTTGTTGAAATTTGATTCTTATATTTTTACCCTTTAGTCCCTCTATTCATTTTTCCCGTTCACATGGTTTAACACCATTAGTTGCTGTTGATTTCACTGCCAAGTGAGATGAGACGTGGGGGTGCATCTGTCCTTTTCTTTTGGCCTGAAGGGGTTTATCTGTTTAACTTCTAATTTCTCACTGCCGGTTGCCGAATATTCCTCCTCCAAACTCAACTATGACTTAGTCATCATATCCTTTTTTTTTTTTTTTCAAAATACTTCTATACATCGGAAACCAGAGTACTTCTATTCTTATAGACAGCCCATTGAAAATTAAGCTGTGATGAAACCATTAACTCTATTTATAAAACAAAAAATCTAATTTTTTATATTTAGACTCATGTATTAAAAATATTAAAGAAAATTATTACATTATCTTGTATTGTCATAGATTCTTGCATTCAAGCATATTTTTATCAGAATATTTAAAAAATTTTGAAAATGTGTATGGAGAACATCGTTTAGAAGAGAACAACTTTTTAAATAGGGCTCAAATTTTTAAAAAATTAGTTTTACAAAGGCCAGTTGTAGAGATACTTTAAAAAACAAAAAAGAAAATAGAAAAAAAATATGTCAACACCCACACAGGTGCTTTGACATCCACTCTTAATTTTTTTCCCAACTAGCTACTCCTAATAATCTTATTAAAAATTAAAATGTCATTAAATTACGTTGGGCTATCCACCTTTGGTGGATCAGACCCATATAAAAGCCCAAATTAGGAAATGGGGCTCGTATAAGAATTATGAAAAACGTTTGGGTTCAAAATGTGATTTACTCAAGACCTTAAAATGTAATATTCTCCAACCTTTGAATTTGAAACTTGGGCGGTTGGAGAAACTGCCGCACGTTCCCATAAGAGGTGGTTATGGGTTCGATTTTAGTCGGTTCAGATTTTGGATTCTTTGCATGAAGAGAAACAAAGAACGCTCTCAGTTTTTCATCGGTCTCATTTTTCTCCTTACAAGGTTTTTCTCTCAGAGAGTGCGTTTGTTGTGTACCCGAACTAAGTTCGACTGGTGTAACTTTGTTCCCGCATACGTATGTGTGAATTAATGACTCAAGATATGTTTTTTCTCCTCTGTTTCTTTGATTGGTATCAGAGCATTCATCCTTCCTGGGCTGTGTTTTCTATGTTTAAAGAACTGATAATGATTTGCTTAACTCCATACACGCAAATCTCCAAGTTTAGTCTTTTATGTTCTTATTGTGTTTACGCTTCGATCTTCTTTGTCTGTCTTTAAGATTATCACCGTCAAAATAAACATATTAATATGCTTCTTGGTTAATATGAATGTTCCTTATATGGCCATACACGTTTTGCATGCAATCAAGTGACGAGCATGACGACTGAAAATGAATCGAATAATGGGTATTTAAAAAATGATCCGTGAACTTAAAGAGATGGCCAACATGATCCGTGAACTTAAAGAAGCCAGGCACAATCTTTCTAACAAACAGCAAGTACAAGCTGTAATCAGATTGCTCCCACACAGCTGGGAGCATATGAAAGTTAACTTAACCCACAATGAAAATATTGTTAACTTTAACGATGTGGCTAAACACCTGGAGCTAGAGGCTGAACGTCTGGAGGCTTACAAGTCATCTGGACAGACTTACCTTGTCGAGGAAGGCGGTCCTTCAAATTCTAAGCCCAAGAGAGGCAAGAAACAACATAAGAAGGGTAATAAGAGTGGCCCTAGAGTAAAGAAGGATAAACAACATTTCAAGAAAAAGGGCAAGAAGAGCGGCAAAAAGAGAATTAACCTTAAAAAGGTCAAATGTTTCGCCTGTCAAAAGATGGGCCATTTTGCAAAGGACTGTCCTGAGCAAAGTGGACGTGATCAGGTACTTGTGAATTATGTGAATTCACATTTTTCTTATGTTTTCAGTAACGTTTTTCTAACAGAAACTGTTTCCTCTTCTTGGATTATAGACTCAGGCTCCACAGACCATGTAAGCAAGGATCGTGGATCCTTCATGGAGTACCGTCGGTTGCCGAATCAAAGCAAGTGGTTTTACGTTGGCAACAATGCGAGGATTAAGGTAAAAGGCATAGGAACTTGCAAGTTGACCTTGCGAGGTGCAAAAACCTTAATTCTCCACGATGTTTTACATGCACCGGACATCCGACGGAACTTAATTTCAATTGCTTGCCTTTTAGAATTTGAGTTTGTTATTAATTTTCATGACAAGATTGTTGACATTATGTACAATTCAACTTTTTATGGTTGTGCTTTTCTTTCAAATAGGTTCTTTATAATGAATATTATTGACCAAGTTCATTTTCATGATTGCTTTACCACCTCTTCCAATAATGTAGATATGAATATTTGACATGCTAGACTGGGGCATATTAATCAAAATAGAATGATTAAGCTAGCTAAAGAAGAAATGCTAGGTCCAATTACAAATATGAAAATGTCCTTATGTGAAAATTGTCTAGCTGGTAAAGCAACAAGAAAACCTTTTGGTAAAGGTATTAGGGCTGAAAATCCATTACAATTAATCCATTTTGATATATGTGGTCTTATGAGTATAAGGGCAAAACACGGAGCTTGGTATGTTATTACCTTTATCGATGATTTTTCACGTTTTGGTCATGTTTATTTGATATCACAAAAGTCTGAAGCTCTTGAGTGCTTTAGACGATACATTAATGAGGTTAAAAATCAAATGGACAATAAAATTAAAGCATTACGTACTGACCGAGGACGTGAATACTTGTCTGATCAATTTAAAGAACTCTGTGAAGAAAAAGGAATAATTAGACAACTAACTATTCCTGGCACTCCGCAACAGAATGGAGTTGTTGAAAGAAGAAATAGGACTCTTCTAGACATGGTTAGATCAATGATGGCACAAGCAAATCTCCCAATCTCGTATTGGGGGGATGCTTTACTGACTACAGCCTTCATATTTAATCGTGTGCCCTCAAAATCAGTTACTTCCACACCCTATGAGTTATGGACAAAATGCAAACCAGATTTAAATATCTTAAGACCATGGGGGTCAGCTGCATATGCCCATGATGATTCCCATAAATATGGAAAGTTAGGTCCAAGAGGAAAGAAATGTATCTTTATAAGATACTTTGAGCAATCAAAAGGTTATGTTTTCATTGGTGAAAATAATGATGGAACTGTAACTAAATTTGAATCTAGGGATATCATATTTTTAGAAAATGAGTTTCCTAGCAGGGAAGAAATTGATCAAACTATATCTCTTTACGAGACACGAGAGCAACATAATATAGAACTTATAGAAAGGCCTGAATCATCGCAAAATGCTGATTTAAGTGGGAGCTCTAAAAGGTCTTTCAGAAGACCTAAAAAGAATCAAAATTCACAAGAGACCCCACTTTAAAAAAGTAATATAGAAAGTGTGCCAAAAAGATGCTTCCAAATTAGGGGTGAAGCATTGATAGGAACTCCTCTAGATGATGATGAGCCACGTTCTGTAAATGAAGCTTTATCAGGACCTGCTAAGGATAAGTGGAAGAAAGCAATGGATGAAGAAATGGATTCCATGAGGACTAACAAAGTATGAAAATTAGTTGATTTACCACGTGGCCGAAAGGCTATTGGGAACAAGTGGGTTCTCAAAATCAAAAGAAAAGTGGATGAATCAATTGATAAATACAAGGCTCGCTTAGGAGCAAAAGGGTATACACAACATGAGGGAATAGATTATGAGGATACATTTTCTCCTGTTGTACGCTTCAATTCTATTAGACTGATTCTGGCAATAGTAAATAGTCTGAATTTAGAGTTGCACTAGATGGATGTAAAGACTGCTTTTCTTAATGGTGATCTGGATGAAGAAATTTATATGCAACAGCCATTAGGTTTTATTGAAAAAGGAAAAGAAAAGAAAGTATGTAAATTAAATAGATCAATTTATGGACTAAAACAATCATCCAGACAGTGGTATTTGAGGTTTCACAGAGCAATAACCTCATATGACTTCTAAATGATTGAGGAAGACCACTGTGTTTATATCAAGAGGTTCAATGGGAACTTTGTAATATTATCTCTTTATATGGATGATATTTTACTAGTCAGAAATAATCTAGATTCAATAATCGCTATTAAAGAATGGCTTTCGTCGAATTTTGAAATGAAAGATATGGGTGAAGCAAAATATACTCTTGGAGTTAAAATCCAAAGAAATCGCTTTAAGAAGCTTCTTTATCTGTCACAAGAGACTTATATAAGAAAAATTCTTGAGCATTTTAATATGAAAGATTGTAAACCCATGGATACCCCAGTAGCTTCAGGTATGAAGCTTAGTCCTGATATGGGTCCTAAAACTGAGATGGCCAAAAGGAAAATGGAAAGAGTTCCATATGTTAGTGCAGTCAAAAGTTTGATGTATGCAATGATATGTACAAGACCAGATATCTGTTATGTCGTAGGACTTGTGAGTCGCTACCAATCTAACCCCAGAGAAGGACATTGGAAAGCTGTAAAGAGGATCTTAAGATACTTAAAGGGCACTGTTGATTATGCACTATGTTATCAAGGGAGTGATCTACGTCTGACAGGATACTCCGATGCCGATTTAGGCAGAGATGAAGATGAACGAAGATCAACTTCAAGCTACACTTTCTTGCTAAACAATGGGGCCATTTGTTGGAGTAGCAAGAAGCAGACATGCATTGCCCTACACTCTATGGAAGCTAAGTTTGTAGCATGTACTGCAGTAGTGCAAGAGGCTATGTGGCTTAAGAGATTTATAGAACATCTTGGGTTTGGAAATGAAAGTATAAATCTAGTGTTAATTCATTGTGACAATACTGCAGCCATAACCTATACCAAAGATCCTAAATATCATAGCAAAACCAAACACGTAGACATTAAGTACAATTTTGTAAGAGATTATATAGCGCAAAAGGTTATCACTGTTCAATACATTTCCATGAAATGTATGATAGCAGATCCCCTAACAAAACCCATAGCCAAGGAGATATTTGAGAAACATGTAAGGGCTCTTGGCATGGCTAGATTGACTTGATGTAATATATTGGTTATATTAATAATTTTTTTTACTTCTATATGTGTACAATTGATAACATATAATGTCTAGTATGTCGTACAGGTTGATAAGGTTGACTCTCTCACACAAGCAACTACCTTTGATATTGAAATCAAAGATGAGATATTAGTGTTCACCAGCAAGGCAACAAAATGTTGATTTAGTAGAAAAGAAACACAAATCATATGTCGCCTCGATCAAAGAGCAAGTCGAGATGAGATCCGTAAGCATACTTGGATCAAATCATGGATCGCCATATCCATAATACCTGTAGCCAAATGATAAATTCTTCTAAATTGACGTCATATAAGATCAATAGAAAAGAAGAATTTGGGTTTAAATACAATGAATATCTAAACCTATGTTTGTATGGTGGTAATAATAAATGAAAATGACGTACACTCTTATAAGCAAGAGTAACACCATAACATGTGTTTCATACCACATGTGCTTAAGAATCGTAATGGGAAGCAAGTGAATAAATCCCTGCTTTATTGCTGTGTGAGTCCCAGAAAGGAAAAAATCCTTTCATTGATGTCCTTTGACTTTGACATTATCATAGAGATATGTTACAGTGCCTGCTACTTTAACATGCAACCTATGGTCATGATTAATGCGAACTAAAGGTTTCATGTTAGGAAAGCGACTGTTTCCTATCAAAGTGGTATATGGGCAAAAGGAAGATTATCTTAAATATACACATCTATGCTCGTATTCAAGACATGTCCCTTATGAAATAATTTATGAATTCATAAGTGTGGATACTACGTATATAAGAAAAACTATCTGAGTCTTGGACTGACTTAAGAGGGATCAGATTAGTCATAATGAGAAAAAGTGTATATTGATAAATCTAGGACATTAAGGCACGAATTTAATCTAGAATAAAATCAACTTTAAAGTTATTTGTGCTGGTCCTTAATAGGATTCCCTAGTACAAATAACTGAGATGAAGACGTCAAGCTTATGTGGTCACGACAAAGCATCTAGTATGAAGAGAGGAAAGAGAAAGAGATAGAACTGACATTATCTTCTCCACCAAGTGTGAGTGAGAGATGTTGGGTTATCCACCCTTGGTGGATTAGGCTCATATAAAAGCCCAAATTGAAGAATGCGGCTCATATGAGAATTATGAAAAATATTTGGGTTCAAAATGCAATTTACTCAGGGCCTTAAAATGTAGTATTCTCCAACCTTTGAATTTGAAACCTGGGCGGTTGGAAAAACTGCCGCACGTTCTCATAAGAGGTGGTTATGGGTGCGGTTTTAGTCGGTTCAGATTTTGGATTCTCTGCATGAAGAGAAACAAAGAACGCTCTCAGTTTTTCATTGGTCTCATTTTTCTCTTTACAAGATTTTTCTCTCAGAGAGTGCGTTTGTTGTGTACCCAAACTAAGTTCGACTAGTGTAACTTTATTCCCGCATACGTTCGTGTGAATTAACGACTCAAGGCATGTTTTTCCTCCTCTGTTTCTTTGAAATTATTAACTCCATTTAAAAATAAAAATTTAACTTTACTTATATTTAAACTCGTATATTGAAAAAGATGAAGAAAATTATTACATTCTCTCGATTTCTCTTACATTATCATATATATACCAGAATATTTTTAATAGAGATAGTATTTAAAAAAAATGTTAACTGGCTTAGCCAAAATATCAACATATGTGCTTTAAGCCTTTAACATCTACTCCTTAATTTTTTTCAAAGTACTGCTAAGAACGTCATTGAAAATTACGACGTGATTAAAAACTCTATTTTTCATAAAAAGAAATTATAACTCTATTTAAAAATAAAAAATCTAACTTTATTTATATCTAAACTCGTGTATTGAAAAAGATTAGGAAAATTATTACATTCTCTTGAATTCTCTTACATTCTCACATGCTAGAATATTTTTAATAGGGATAATATTAAGAAAAGATATGTTAACTATGACTTAGTCAAAATATCAACATAGGCGCTTTAATCCTTTAACATCTACTCCTTAATTTTTTTTAATTACTTATAAGAATGTCATTGAAAATTGTTGGGTCATTTTTTATAGTATTTTAGGTTGTTGTCTTTGTACAATTTTTGAGGACTTTTTCTGTCATTTTTTATCAATTAACAGTCAAAATTAACTTTTATTAATGATAAGAGTTATATTATATTATTTTTAAAAATTAAAAAAAATATTGAACAAAATATGAATTTAGGGTCCTAAGTGTTTCTAAATCAAGACCCATTTATTCATGTGCCCTTATATTTTAACTCATGTAAGAACGTCATTGAAAATTAGGACGTGATTAAATTAAAACTCTATTTAAAAATAAAAAAATTAAATTTATTTATATTCAAAGTCATCTAGTGAAGAGAGAGAGAGAGAGAGAGAGAGAGAGAGAGAGAGAGAGAGAGAGAGAGAGAGAGAGAGAGAGAGAGAGAGAGAGAGCTAATGAAAATTATTACATTCTCTTGCGTCTTCTCACATTCTCACATTCTAGCATTTTTTTTTATAGAAATAATATTAAAAAGCATGTCAACTATGGCATGTTCCATGGTCTCCACTGGAGATTTCTTCTCCGCTGATCTGCATGATTGGGACAACTCAAGATGTTGTGATATGTCTACATGCGATTAAAATGAGCTTGGGACATGTGAGAATCTATAGTGATTGCACAGATGGGCTCTGGCCTTAATTCGATCAGTCCTCCAATTATGATGTTCATACTGAAAGGGACCTCATTTATCAGAGAGCCTTGTCGTTTCCTATGGGTCTTCACCTAGTGGATGCCGCGTCACCTCCTTTGTTAGTGGAGCCTGATGCTTTAGTTTGTTTTGTTTTGTTTGTTTTTTTTTTTTCCCCTGATGTGCGTGTGTGTATACATGTATATCCACCTATGCAAAGCTGTCAACCTCATGAATATAAATTTAAATAAATTTGTGATAATAATGTAAATTGAAATGATAAATTTGTAAGAATTTAGTTATAAAAAAATTAATCATTTAATCTTTATAATTTTAACTTAATTATAACTTAGTCTCTAAATTTTGACTCATTATAGTTCAATTTTTAAAGTTTTGATTTGGTTGTAAATTAATCCTTTAATTTTGTCTCTTGTAATTTAGTCCCTGAAATTTTAACATTTTAAGTATTGGCCCCTATATTTTAAAAAATAAAACTATAAAAATTCAAAATATTTTAAAATTTATTACTAATATTTTAAATTATTAAACCCTTTTAATCTTTTTAAATATTATAAATATTAAAATTTTAAAATATTTTAATCTTTATAATTTTATTTTTTAAGATATAGAGACCAATATTTAAGATGTTGAAATTTTAGAGATTAAATTGTAAGAGACAAAGTTCAGGGACTAATTTACAACCGAGTTAAAACTTTAGAGACTGAGTTATAACGAGTCAAAGTTGAAGAATTTAGTTATAACTGGAACAAAACTATAAAAACTAAATGATTAATTTTTTCTTAATTATATTAATAAATAGCTATTAAAAGTATATAATTAAATAATTTAAATAAAAATGACCATAATTTAACCTGAATATATTTCAAATCCAAATTATTAAAATCAGATCCATCAACATTCATAATTTATCATCTAAAAATAGAGTTAAACACAATCAGTTGACCAAGACTCTAAAAAAAAACAAAAAAAAAAAAAAGCAGAATGGCACCTAGTGCCCCCATGTCGAAGAAAGTAGCACATAAGGCTCATTACATTCTGTATTTATTCAGGCTCAAAGACTTTACATGTAAATATATTTCTTAATGAAAAAACTCATTTACCTTTTGTTTGAAAAAATAACATCATCCATAACACATTGCATTATTAATGTATAGATTTTATCATGTTATATACTGACATTATGTTATTTATACTCCTAAAAAACTTGTACATTATTATTCATAAACCACACAGACTATGTGTATAGTGAATGAATATTATGTTGTTGATGTATAAATCTTGTCATATTATATACGAATATTATATTTATTCATACACTTATATTGAAATTCTCCCTTCTTATTTTTTATCAAAAAGCAAAATATGTCAGCCACACTTTTCTCTTTTCCCTAGCTTCTATCTTATAATATTAAAACATAAATCAATAATAATTCAACAAAATCCAAACACTTTCCCCTTTCTCCTTCCTCCTCTTCTCTACTGTTAACCAGAGGTTGTGGACTTGTGGTGTGAAGAGGGCGGAAGCGGCATGTTGATCAACAGGTGACTTTTTGAACTTCGAAATAAAGCAAATTAGAACATATTTGGTTTCAAAAACTTGCTTAATAAGTTTTTTGAATTTAATTATTTTCAAAACTATTTTTATTTTTTAAAAAAATAAAAAAATCTTAAAGTTGTTTTGATTTTATTTTTATTTGTTTTCAAAACATACTGTATTTGATTGTTGAAAAAATATAGTTAGCTTGATAAATTTATAATATAAATTACCACCATTAACTACTTACAACCATTATTATTTCCTTCTTTTTTAATTCAAAAATGATTTTTAAATTAACATAACCAAATAGATTTTTATTTTATTTTTTGAAAAATAATTCTAAAAACTGTATTACAAAATAATTTTTAAAAGCAAAAAATATGAATAGAAACCAAACATGCCTTAGGGTCTTGTTTTCTATTTTCAAAAAATTATTTTCAATTTCTAAGTACAAAGGATAAAAAATTATTTGGTTAAATTCTTTGAATTTAAATTTTTTAAAACTATTCTCACTTTTTATTTTAAAAACCAACAAAAGAAGAAATAAGTTATAGTTGTTTTTGTTTTTTTATTTTTAAAGCACATTACATTTAACCATTATAAATTACATTTAGCTAAGACTGTAACATCTTAAATTTTAATTTCTTGATTTAATTATTTAATCAAGGGTAAATAGGTAAAATAAGTGTTAATTAATTTAATGATGATTAGTGATAGATAGCGAGCCTTTTGATTTTGGATACACAACCTTTGG